CCAAGCTGCGCTCGCCCCCCCCATGACCACCGCCACTAGAACCGCCAGTCCACCACGGCGGCGGGGTCCCCACGGCGACTGCTGCTCCTGCGACGACTGCGGCTGCGTTTGCGGCTGCTGTGGCTGCTGAGTCTGCTGCTGCTGCTGCTGAGGTTGCGTCTGCTTCTGCGACTGCTCTGGGGCACCAGCCTCGGTCCCCTTATTTGAACTACTGTCCCCGCCCTCATCGCCACCCTCCCCACCGACACCCCCCTTCCCCCCACCTCGCCCCCCCTTGGGGCGGTGACCTTTACCCGGACGCTTCTGCGCTGAGGCCGCAACAGCGGTCTTAACAACAGCAGCGAAGACGTCAGAGTAAGTGCACTAGGAAGGAGCACAGCCCTCAAAGATAGGTACTGCCCCAGTACCGCTGGACTGAGCGATACTGCGCTGGCGGGTCTCTATCTCAGACAGGACAGTGACGAAGGCGGTGAGAGTGAGGTCACCCGAGTGCGGACTAAGGGAGTGGTTGCGGGCTCTGGCAAGGCGGTCAGGGAGGCGCATGGCGATGAGATAAAGGGTAGCGCAGAACGGCGACGGGAAGGCAGTGAGCTGTGCCTGAGCTAGCAACGCGGTAGCTTGTCTCAAGCGCGCGGAGGTGAATGGCAAAGTCGGCGACAGTGGGGAAGGACGCAAGATCAGGGAACAGCATGGGGAGGATCAGGCGACCGGCAGAGGCAGTGGCGGGGGTGGAATAGCGGGCAATGATAGCATTTAGGAAGGTCTGGGCGTTTGCTACAGTGGTGAAGCGAGGATGCACAGACATCGGGAGCGCACGGCTGATAGCGAGCTGGGCGACAGCTTCGCGCGAGTCCCAGACGGTACGCTCAAGCGCAGCAGCAGAAAAGGCCTCATGCTCAGCAGAGGTGGGGGCAGCAGGGGCAGGGGGGCGGGGAAGCAGGCCATCGACATGAATAGCCAGGTAGTGAGCGTCATGGCGCTGACCTGTAAGGTGACGCAGGAGATCGACGAGCAACGGCTCAAAGTCGAGCGCCCGACCCTCTGCGTCCAGACAGAGGTGTGACTCCGCCATCGCCACTGCTAACGGCTGCTGACAGATGTGAGAAGGACAGGAGGAGGAGGCGGTGGAGGGGGGTGGAGTGTGGTGTAGTGTGGTGGAGTGCAGTGGAGTGCGGTGGAGTGTGGTGGAGTGCGGTAGAGTGCAGTGGAGTGTGGTCAATGGCGATGGAGAGCGGTGGAGAGCGGTGGAGACAGCCGGCAGGGAGGCCGGCGCTGAAGGGAGCCAGGGCCGTTGGGTCGGCACCGGGGCTCAACGGGCCGGGGGGGGGCGGCGAAGCTGGAGCCGGTTGGCTGGGCGGCTGGCGGGCGGACCGGCTGACAAGGGCCGACGGGGCGCACGGGGCCGACGGGGTGCAGGCAGGGCCTGCAAGGGAGCGAGCGGGCCGGCGAGGTGCTAAGGAGCTGGCTGGGCGCTAACGGGCCGGCGGGGTGCTGACGGGACGGCTGGGCGCTAACGGGCCGGCGGGGTACTAACGGGGCTGGGAGGCGCTAACGGGGCCAACGGGGCTCGAACGGGGCCGGGAGGGCGCTAACGGGCCGGAAGGGCACTAACGGGCCGTCGGGCCGAACACGGACGGAGGGGCGCACGAGGCCGACGGGGCGCTAACGGGGCCGTGGGGGCACGAAAAGGGGTCGGCGGGGCGTCAGACTGCCTGTGTGATTTTGGCGAAGGACAAGTTACTGTTAAAATTATATAAGTTATAATTTAATATAGGCTTGGTAGGTTGTTACTGAACCTTTCTGTAGGGGGTACAAACCCCTCCTTGTACTCCCCTCTCTTCCTAATCCAACCCCCTTTCTTCTCGACATTCTCTCCCTTCCTAGATCCGTTTTTCCTCACGCTATTCCATGGCGGCCTTCTTCCTAGTATCCTAGCCAACCTAGCCTCCTAAGTTTAAGAACCTTGAGTCCTAAGTTTCTAAGATGGTATCAGAGCGGGAGATCCTCCCTGTTGGATCGCCTCCTCACGCTTCCGCAATTTACTCCTCACTCTCATTAGCTCGAGCGGCCATGGCGGCCGCGTTTTGCTGCAGTGGCGACGTCGCGCTGCCACTGGCCGCGTCGTGCCGCGACCGGCTCGACGCGCTGCCGTGGCGTCGGGCCGTCGTTCTGCAGTCGCAGCGTCGACGTCCCGCTGCGGCATCGACGCTGCCTCTGCCGTCGCGACGTCGACGTCCTGCTGCAGCGTCGACGGCGCCGTCAGGCCGCAGCCGGTTGCGTCGAAGCTTTGCCGTGGCAGCGTCACCTTGCTGCCGTTGCAGCGTCGGCGTGCCGCCACAGCGTCGACGCCGCGCCCTGGCGGCGTCGTCATGCTGCCGCGGCAGCGTGGATGGGCGGCAGCGGGCAGCACGCTGTCGTAACCGCCACCTGCCCGCCCTCCTGCCAGTAAGCGCCGCGCCACTTATGGCGCGTCGCTGAAGACTCGCCTCGCCCCGCCCCCTCCCCTCCCCCCCCCACCTGCACCTGCTTCCCCTGCATCCCCCCTTTCTTGCTGCAGCCGATGACTGCCATGTGAGGGACCTCTCCACCGCCGAGGAGACAGGACATGCCGCCGAGAGGGCGGGGGCCGCCGCACCAGCCTCTGTCGTTCGAGCCGCCGGCGCCGCCGCTGTTGCCGCAGGCCTGGAGCCGCCGCACACCGCCGCCGCCGCCGCCGTCGTCACTGTCGCTGCTGCCGCCATTGCCGTCTCAAGGGGCCGTGAGACCTACCCTCTTCCGGAGTCGTTGCGGCTCCTGCTGGGAATGGGGGTGCTGGGCTAGGGGGTGTGGGTGTGGGTGTGGGTGTGGGTGTGGGGGTGTGCGTGGGCTTGACACTACCAAGCCTAGGGGGTGTGTTAAAATTATATAAGTTATAATTTAATATAGGCTTGGTAGGTTGTTACTGAACCTTTCAGTAGGGGGTACAAACCCCTCCTTGTACTCCCCTCTCTTCCTAATCCAACCCCCTTTCTTCTCGACATTCTCTCCCTTCCTAGATCCGTTTTTCCTCACGCTATTCCATGGCGGCCTTCTTCCTAGTATCCTAGCCAACCTAGCCTCCTAAGTTTAAGAACCTTGAGTCCTAAGTTTCTAAGAGTTACGCCCCTCACAGCTGCTCCAGCTCGCCTCGATCTGTCCGATTGGATTCTGTTTCAGACTAGAAATACGTGAAGGCTGATAATTCAGGGTGGCCAAAACAAGAACATACAATATTTCAAGCCTGCTTAAATGACAGCCCCTAAAATTCAAGCCTAGGAAAAATCAAAAGCTGAAAAAAATAGGACGGCCCTAAAAAAAACCCTGATATACAGCATTTCATGGCATTTTGTCATGACTTCTGAAGCCATGTTGTGTACAGCTTGGTCTGGTTTCTGTAGCTTCACACTTGCTAGGTTCTTGGTTGTGTAATCCTTTTATATTATCTTGACTGGCCTTGTAGCTTTTGTCCCAATGGCCGGTCTAGTAGTACCGCCCTTGGTTGCTCTTGTTTAGTTTGTACTTTTGCTTACTAGACTTCGGACCCTTGCCTCAGAGGTTGGACTAGAAGTGCCATCCTGGGTTGTGTGTCTCTTGCCATGCACTGCCTCTCATCTAGCCTAGGGGTTGTGTCAAAACATATATATATATATATATATATATATATATATATATATATATATCGCTCTCTCTCTTATAGGCTAGATAGGTGCGTTCTCTTAGAGAGTACAACCCCTTAGCACCAAAGCACATTGTATCTTTCATTCTCGTCATTCTTTCTCACGTTTACAATAGGGGGGGAGGGGTAGGCAGGGGGACTTTTGTGGGCGGGGTGTTGAAAACATTTGAAATTCTTCGCTGGTGGAAATGATTGAGCCCCTAGGCTGAATCGGAATCGCCCCTCGGATATATTTCAGCTCGAAAACGCAGTGGGGGGAGAAGGGGAAGTGGGCGGGGTGGGGGGCTTGGTGGGGGGGGGGGTTAACGAAATGGGCATGGGGGAAGGAAACAAGGTGAGGGGAATCAAACGCACAGGTAGCAGAGTGACAAATTTCGAGGTTTGCAATGCACTATTCTGGTTCAAGTTTTTGCACGGCTTTTGGCAAGCTCTCATAGCCTGCACTTCTTCACCGGGTAACTTAGCCCTTCAAATTATAAACAATTGAACCTCGCGGGCTATATTTGCACCGCGGCTTAAATCAAGCCAAACAAAAACCATCGTTTCGCTTTAGATAAGTGCATGGGTTTGCAATAATGAATTCTGGCGTACTTAAAGTCTAATAGTTTGCAAGGGAGCGCGATGTAGGAGAGTTATTGCGGTACAGTTGGTTCTACTGGACAAAATAGCCCATCATGTAGGCACCGGCGTGTCGGTGGTTCAAACGAGAGTGTGACACAATCCGGATTCCCCCGTTACAATATCAGCCGCCAACGTGCCTTATGCCATTCGGTCGCAGCGCAGCTTGCCACACCTCCCTGCTAATGGCCAGATGCAAGAGCTACAGTGTTCTTAGGCATTGGCTCCCCTCGTTATTGTAAGAAACGGCGTACATCCGAACATGAGCCGAGCCTAGATGCCGGGTGAGACTATCCGAAGCTCCCAGCTGTGATGCTCCTTTTCCTTGCCACCACCACCCCTTGCCAAACCGGGAGAACAACTGCCCAACCTGCACAGACGGCTGGCCATCAATGTATGTCATTGCGCTGTATCGCATCCCTTCACCCTCACCTGCTTACTGCCTGCCCAACTTTGCCTGGGCCCTGTTTTGATACGCTTGCCTGTAACAGCCTGCCACGTATCTGGCTTGGCATCAAGACGCGTAACACCCAAGCCTAGGTGAGAGTGATAGCCTCCACCGACAAAGGGACGCGGCTCGTCTGTTTTGGTTGGTTCGGTCGTCCCTTCTACCAAGCTCGCACGCGACTGGCCCTCACCTCTCCGCCTCTAAATTCACCCACCACCACGATCACTACACTTCACTTCCCCCCCTCACCTCACTGCCAGAATCCACATGCCATAAATAGCTGCTTCCTGCACTGATATGTGGAGTTACTTGTAGTATCACAAACAACTGGTGCGTGCTTTGTTTGACGGATCTGCCTGCTTTTAACAACTACACTTCTCATTTTCTTAAAGCAAGCTTAGTCCCACTCCTAGTGTTGGTGCGAGCCACGTCACATCCACTCCCAATGGCGCGACTCTCGCATGCCGCTATGCCGCTGTTCGCTGGACGGGTCGTAGCTGGACTGGTGCTTGTCTCGGTCCTGCTCGCCGCGCTTCCCGTCGACGCAGCGCGGGAGATGCTTCAGGTGAAGCCTAGCGCGAAGCCGACCCGGGCGGATATCCTCAAGGAGATTAAGGTGGCGACGACCGCCGTCAAGAAAGTTCCCGGCTACAAAAGAGTTGCTACCCTACTCCAGGCTGGGAGTAAGTGCCATGCCAACACACGAGTACAGTCTCATTATTTAGTAACTATGTTAAATCTTTTACCATTTATTCCAATCAATCCCTGTCTCTCCCTTTGTATTCTCTGTCGAACTACTTACCCCGTAGCCTGGCGACCTAGCTTAGTCATCCGAATCTGGCGGTTAGGCCCCAAAAATACGAATGTATCTGTATCCGTATCCTTGACGCGGTGACGTATCGTTCTCCGTTCTCTGCCCAAATTCCGGTCGTGCTTGTTTGCTCCGTCGGCTTTTTCCCCTGTTTATATGTTCGCTTGTTCGTTTGTTCAGTCCCGCAAGCTTCGCAGAAGTACGACTTCACGGTCATCTATAACGGGACGCTATTGGCGGGTAACGATGACGCGCTGAAGGTGCTGATGAAGAAAATCAACATCGCAAAACCCGGGGACCTGGACAGGGTCTTCGGGATGCTGCTACAAATGACCCTCAAGGGCAACTATTCCGACGCCACTCTAACGAAGAAACCCATGATTATTTTCCCGACGAATGGGCCGAAGCCTCTCCGGAAGATGACCGCGCGCAATGCGGCCACGACGACGTTCGGGATCCCCGGGACTGCCGCGGCCACGTGGGCGACGATTATCACCCCAAAGCTATACGTTGGGAAGTGGTTCACCGTGCATGGGGTAAACTACTTCATTCTTTAAGTTCACCTACTTCCAGGAAGTTCAAGTCTTCCAGGAACCAGCCAGGAGTGGGGGAGGTTTTGGGGGAGGTTTTGGGGAATGCGGCTTGATAGTGGCTCAGTAGTTTTGGCAAATGGGCATAATAAGGGCGCTTTTGCGTTCCTCTGGCGTATGTTTCTTGGCTAATCTTGGTGCGTATATTTAATTTTGCATGCACAAGCTGAGTTGATGGTAATCAAATGTGGGAAACCGTGAAACTAATGTGAGTGAACATACGAGATAGATGCAAGTGTAATCTCTTTTTTTTCCGATATTATAGAACTTGATATGGTGTCCATTATCGGTTACATCGCACGTCTCGACATTCTGAACATCAGTGCCTGCCCTACTGGTGTGCCTTGCAATCCCCCCGCACCATTCGCGCAACATGTCATGTGACTCGTGTCTTGGCTGTTAAAGATGTCCACCACACGCCCTGCCCATAGCCAATCGCAATCGGTTTAGCTTGCCCATTTGCCATACGGGCAGTATCCGTTTCGTGAGAATCCAAAAAGTTGCCACGTGGAACGATTTTGTTTAGCGCGGAACGAGGCGACCATACAGATGCATGGGCTTATTGACCAGAATTCCGACTTTTGAAATATCTTGTTACAGAATGCTCATTTGCGACCCATTTGCCTGTGGCGACGTATGCGAAATGGCGAATTCAACATTGGCCCCCACGACTCGGCGAAGTGGTGGGCGTCCGGTGGACATCATTGTCAAACATGTGTTTGTGTTTGACTATATATGTAGTTATTGCAGACTATATATCGTCAAACATGTGTAGTTATCATGTTTGTATAGACTGTATAGGGTCACCTTCTAGAGAGTACAACATTTAGGTATATGTTTGTGTACTCTCTCTCTCACATTATTCAATTCTAGGTTTGATATGGTATCACGAGTAGGTTTCGACCCCCCTCGTTCCCCACCCGTGTCCCCTCCTCTGTCTCCTGACCCGACGCCGCCCTCTCACGTCTGGTCTCGCCGCCCCTCCCGTGCTCGTCCTGTCTCCCCCGTCCCGCGCACTCACCCTATGTTGCTCCGCTCCCACGCGTCTCGTCCTCCCCTCCTCCCGTCTCCTCCTCCGTCCTCTCTTGTCGTTGCGTCTCCTCCTCTGTCTGACTACTTTCGTGCCGCTCGTCCTCTTGTTCCTCGGGTCCTTGCCTCTCTCGTTACCGACCCGTCTGTTCCAGTGTCGAGTCTTGACGCCCTTGTCGCTGCGGTCGCTGACTTCGCCTCTACCCGCCGCCTTGACTACGCCTCCGCTCTGGTCTCTGACCCTGCCTGTCCTCCGTCTGTCGGGGGTGCTCCTGCCCTCGGCAGTGACGTCCTGGAGGACCGCCGGTTCGAGGGCAGGAGCACCCCCGACAGACGGAGGACAGGCAGGGTCAGAGACCAGAGCGGAGGCGTAGTACACTTGGCCTCCGGTGCCAACACAGCTGATATCTTTACGAAGGCGCTTGCGCCTAAAGATCATCAGCGGCACTGTTTACAGCTTGGTCTGGTTCCTGTAGTCTCTCACTTACTCGGGCCTTGACTTTGTACTGTCGTATATATATATATGTATACACTCAGACTGGACTTGTGTCCTCTCACAGTGGTTGGACTAGTAGTGCCGCCCTGTACTCGTTCTTGCCTTGTCTGTACTCCTTCTGACTGGTCTTTTAGACCCTTGTCTCAGAGGCTGGACTAGTAGTGCCACCCTGAGCTACTTGTCTAGAACATTCCCCTATGCAGTCCAGAGGGTGTGTCAAACATGTGTAGTTATCATGTTTGTATAGACTGTATAGGGTCACCTTCTAGAGAGTACAACATTTAGGTATATGTTTGTGTACTCTCTCTCTCACATTATTCAATTCTAGGTTTGATATATATGTGTTTGTGCCTTAGTGGGTACAACACTCTAGACTATATTGCCTTGTATCTCACCACTCTAGTCATTCATTCTTTCTGTTAATCATCTGTACTGGTCTCACGAGCGGGGCTGAAAATAACAGGGCAATCACCCTGTCTTGACTGAAAATCCAAGGTTGTTTCAATAGTAGCTCGTATTTCATTTAGGTCTTTTCCCAGCCAACCCGGACTAACACCAGGGGGGAATTTCGCGGGACCCGTATGTCAACTTATACATATTATCTATGTAGAAGTTATAGGCTAGACTGGGGTATGCTTCTAGTGAGTACAACCAACTAGTATTTGTTCTAGGTTTCCACCTCTAGTCATTATTCGTTCTCACTTTAACATGGTATCACGCGTAGGTTAGCATCCCCCACCTACCGCTTCCGCCCGTACCCTAGCTAGGCCACGTCGCGCCTCCTAGCCCCGTCGCGCCTCCTAGCCACGTCGCCCCCCCCCCCCCCCCCCCCCCCCTCCTGGGCCACGTCGCGCCACCCTAGCCCCGTCGCGCCACCCTAGCCCCGTCGCTCCCCTCCTTGGCCCCGTCGCGCCTCCTAGCCCCGTCGCGCCCCTCCTGGGCCCCGTCGCGCCACCCTGGCCCCGTCGCGCCCTGCCTGACCCCGTCGCGTCCGCTCGGCCCCGTCGCGCCCTGCCTGGCTCCGTCGCGCCCGCCTGGCCCAGTCGCGCCCTGCCTAGCCCCGTCGCGCCCTGCCTGGCCCCGTCGCGCCCGCTCGGCCCCGTCGCGCCCTGCCTGGCCCCGTCGCGCCCGCCTGGCCCCGTCGCGCTCGCCTGGCCCCGTCGCGCCCTGCCTAGCCCCGTCGCGCCCTGCCTGGCCCCGTCGCGCCCGCTCGGCCCCGTCGCGCCCTGCCTGGCTCCGTCGCGCCCGCCTGGCCCCGTCGCGCCCTGCCTAGCCCCGTCGCGCCCTGCCTGGCCCCGTCACGCCTGCCTGGCCCCGCCGCGCCTCCCTGGCCCTGCCGCGCCTGCCTGGCCCCGCCGCGCCTGCCTGGCCTCGTCGCGCCCTGCCTGGCCCCGTCGCGCCTGCCTGGCCCCGTCGCGCCTGCCTGGCCCCGCCGCACCTGCCTGGCCCCGCCGCTTGGCCCCGTCGCGCCCTGCCTGGCTCCGTCGCGCCCGCCTGGCCCCGTCGCGCCCTGCCTAGCCCCGTTGCGCCCTGCCTGGCCCCGTCACGCCTGCCTGGCCCCGCCGCGCCTCCCTGGCCCTGCCGCGCCTGCCTGGCCCCGCCGCGCCTGCCTGGCCCCGTCGCGCCCTGCCTGGCCTCGTCGCGCCTGCCTGACCCCGTCGCGCCTGCCTGGCCCCGCCGCACCTGCCTGGCCCTGCCGCGCCTGCCTGGCCCCCGCCGCGCCTCCCTGGCCCCGCCGCGCCTGCCTGGCCCCGCCGCGCCTCCCTGGCCCCGCCGCGCCTGCCTGGCCCCGCCGCGCCTGCCTGGCCCTGCCGCGCCTGCCTGGCCTCGCCGCGCCTGCCTGGCCCCGCCGCGCCTGCCTGGCCCCGCCGTGCCTTCCTGGCCTCGCCAGCACCTGCCTGGCCCCACCGCACCTGCCTGACCCCTTCGCCCCGGCTCGTCCTGCCGTGCCGCCTCGGGCTCCGTCTCCTCTGCTCGCCCGTGCTGAGGCGCTTCGCGGCCGCCGTGCTGGAGGGGGCTGTCGCTGTGTTCCTGTGGAGCTGTGCCGTTGACCCTGCACGATGGCGGACTTCGTGCTCCGACTGGACGCGGAGGGCCATGCGGTTGACTTCGCCGCCTGGCTCTCCGATCTCCGCCGCCACCTTACAGGTCAGCGCCAGGATGGCCACTCTTTGGTTGTCCATGTCGACGGCTTGCTCCCCCGTCCCCCCGCACCTGCTCCCCTCCCTGCTGATCCCTCCTCTGATGACCGTGAGACCTTCTCTACTGCTGCACTTGCCCGTGCGGTCTGGGACTCCCGCGATGCAGTCGCTCAGGTTGCCATTAGCCACGCCCTCCCTGTCTCTGAGCGCTCGCGTTTTGCTACTATTGAGACGGCCAAAGCTTACTTAGACGCTGTTATTGCCCGCTATTCCACACCCGCGTCTGCTTCTGCTGGTCGCCTGCTCTTCCCTATGCTTTTCCCAGACCTTGCAGCTTTCCCTACCGTCGCAGACTTTGCCACTCACCTGCGTGCCCTAGAGACCCGCTATCGCACTGCCAGCATTGCTGCCCAGCTCACTGCGCTCCCCCCCCCTTTCTGCATGACGCTCTATTTTATCGCCATGCGCCTGCCAGACCGCCTCGCTAGTGCTCGCGATCACTTTCTTAGCCAGCACCCGGGTGACCTCACTCTCACTGCCTTTGTCGACACCCTCACCGAGATCGAGACTCGCCAGCGCACTATCGCTCAGTCGAGCGGTGCGCCGGCAGTTTCTATCTTTCACGGTTGTGCCCCCTCCCAGTGTGCGTTCACTGACGTTTCGGCTGCGGTCGCCTCGGCGGCCCCTCTCACCGAGTCGGCTGGTGCGGTCCCCCCGCAGCAGCGCTCGCGCCGCGGTGGCCGTGGTCGCCAGGGGGGTAGGGGTGGTGGTGGCAGTAGTGGTGGTGACGGTAGTCCGCCTGCGGGGACTACCACTGGTGGGCAGGAGCAGCAGCCCCAGCCGCAGCAGGAGCAGCCCCAGCCGCAGCCGCCGCCCCAGCAGCAGTTACCGTCCCAGCAGCAGTCGCCGCAGCAGTGGGCCCGTCTCCCGCCTGGTTGGCCCGGCACCTCCGGAGGTAGTGGCCGTGGTGGCGGCCCGCGCAGCTTAACGTCTACCGGCGGCTCCGGTGCTGTCACCTGCCAGTACCAGCTTCAGACCGGGCCTCTTCGCGGCACTCTGTGCCGCCGCCCGCACACGACCGCCCGCTGTTTCCGCCGCCTCGACGATCTCTTTCGTCGTCGCTTTGGCCCGGCCCCGGACCTCCCCGACTGGCACAGCCTGCTCCGCCAGGGCGTGCCGATCTTTGAGTTAGACATGGATCAGCTAGGTGCTGCTTTGCATGCTTTGTATTCTGACACTTCTAGTTTTGCTGGATCTTATTACCTTGTGTACTCTAGTTTAGGTGTTGCACCACTGTGTAGCTTAGCCTCCCCTGCTGCGTCAGGCGTAGGACTGCCTAGGTTGCCTAGTCTAGTCGCTGCACCGGCTCCGTCCCCGGCCTCCGCCACTGCGTCGTTGTCCTTCACTCTCGACTCCGGTGCTTCTGCCTGCTTCTTCCGCGACCGTTCCACGCTCACGCCGCTTGCTGCACCTGCTGTTGTCTCTCTCGCTGACCCCTCTGCGGGTCCGGTCGTCGCGCGCAGTTCTACGTCCCTTCCCTGTCCGGCAGTTCCCTCAGGCTCCCTTACTGGCCTCCACGTTCCCTCGTTCTCCAGGAA